AGCAGATGCCATACGAGAACAAGGTGTACACGTGCACGACACCACTTGGCTAGCAAAGGGCACACTCTCAAGAAGATGTTCTCGGCAGACATCGACATCGAATGAATTGGCGTCCGGGACATAATGTGCTCAGTCGGTTTTCTCGCACTGGATGCCGTTCACAGTAGGCAACACTGCCGTGAAGACGTTCAACATGTCGCCAGCCTCGATGAGTGGTGCGGCAAGTTTAAAGCAAACTTGTTGAAATGGTCATGAGAGGACGAGGATCAGCTCAGCATGCAACTAGGGGACATGCCCAAGGCGAGCCAGAATGATGAGCTGGTTTATCTCCCCGTTTCAACGAGGTTACACCTGCGTACAAGAAGGATGAAAAGAATAAGTGAAGGCCAGTATTGTCAGAAATCTCCAACGTGCTGAGGGGCAACTCCGTTGACAACCGGCAGCACCAGGAGACGGATGGCCAGTTCTCCGAGTGGCAGAAGCGCACACGCAAGATCGACGTTCTATAGGTGTGATTCGCGGGCTGCCACTGCGGTATGTGACCGATCCCGTCATGCCACGAATTCTCATGCTCACGCACCTTTGCAGGCGGCAGCGGCGGCTCGGTGTCAAAAGACACGTGGCACAGCCTGGGGCACATCCCGCTGCAGTGGATGGTGCGCCAGTGCTTTCTGGCAAGCACCGGTATCCGGTTTCATGCCAAGCTCCTGTGCGGCATCAGGCTCGACCCTGCATTGCTCTACCTGAATTGTGCCGAATTTGCATTGGTCTTCAGGAGCTTCAAATGACATCTGGAATTTCCACCTTTCGTCCACCCATCATTATCCCTCCTCTCGATGTTTTCAAGAGTTTCAGTTCGGCGGCCTAGACACAGGAACTTATTATGTTACACCGGACTAGCCACACTGGCTTGGACGTTTATAAGCGCCCGGATCCACTAAGCGCCTTGGAGCCTGGCTGAGACACGGTCGTGGCTAAGACATGTAATTAGCGTAATTACAATAAAACAATTGCGCAGGAAGCGTGAATCAAATCCACCGATTGCCCAATGAGCACTAACATCTGCACCACCAGGCCCTACACTGTAACCGTTAGGTATTGACCTAACAACCTTTCTCCAGCCACTCACGCGGCCGACGTCTCAGCCACGGTCTAGGGGCTTGGCCACACAGAAACCGGCCCACTCACCATCGCCTTATTGTCGTGATACGACTACTGGGCTGCGTGAGCGCGAACTGGCAAGTGGCATGCGGGCACGATCTAATACACACGGTGTTAGTCTGAGTGCGAAGGGAAAGAGCACGCTGTATAGCTATGTACCTAATACACACGGTGTTAGCTAGACAGGGTTCCGGTGAGCATACTACATGATACGCAAGGGCGACGAAGGGGACTTACTCTGAGTGCGAAGGAAAAGAGCACGCAGAGTGGGGATGCGAGAGGAGTCCTTATATACTAAAAGGAAGCAAAATTGAAAGTCCGCTAGAATGGGGAAGCCTGCCATAAAGATGTCCGTGCGTGGGAACATTACATACAATTGTCCAATCACTATCTACGTATTAGTAGCGCCTAATCTAAGATGTCCACCTTAAGTCCATGCCGGGCGGAATGCCGAGCCAGAGCCACTAGGCGCTTCAACACGCCTTTGTGGTGTCCTCTAGCTCATTCAGTTTGGTCCTGCCGCGCCATACAGCTGGGCGCGTACTGCCTGTCACTTGCTCTACGATGGCATCAGAGCAGCTTACTTGCATCTGCGAAAACCCGCCTGAGCTTTCTCACTGGCTCAGTATACGGTCTGCCAACACAGCATCGTGATCCTACATGCCTCGCGCTCTCCCCGACGTACTTCGGCGCTTATTGCTCCTGCTCTTGCTCTTGCGCCGTCCCCTCTTTGACTGCCTCCCACCTCCATCCTCAGCCACCTCGCACCTTCTTCACTTACATTAGCTCATTGCTTGGTCTTCTGTGTGCTCCCAGGTAAGCCTCCAGTTCTCGTTTCCACGTTGTTACTCACCACGGACCGTGCTGTCTGCTGCCCACTGCCCACTCCTCTATCCCCACAACCTTGCACTTCCAACCCTCTGCGCGCCGTCCTTCGACTCAGAAGCCCTCTCCATTCGTCTGGAAGGAGGTTTAGCGTGGTTTCTCCCAGGTAAGTCTTCAGTTCTTGGTTTGGTGTCGTTGCTCACTCACCATACAACCCGCTGTCTTCTACCTCCACACCCTCTATCCTCGACTATCCCGCACCTCGTACTCTGTACACGCTGTCGTTTGGTTCACCTGCCATCTCTGATCGTCTGGAAGGCGGTTCAGAGCCGTTATCCCAGGTGAGTCTTCATTCTCGGTTCGGTCTCGTTGCTCACCATACAACTCCCTCCTCCACACCTCTCTATCCTCAACTACCTCGCATCTGGTGCCCTGTGCCGACCGCCGTTGTAGCTCGTACTTACCGTACGCTCTCGAACCGCCGCGGCCCTCAGCCCTCAAGCTCAACTTCTTTGCGTCTTGTGCCCAGTTCCGACCGCCGTCACATTTGCCCTCAGCGCCCGACCATATGAAAGTAGTTGAGGAGGTGGGAGCTAATTGGTTGAAGGTGAGTGCCAGATTCTCGACTGATTCCTTGTACTTATTGTACACTTTTGAACCGCCACGGCCGTTAGTCCGAAAGCTCAACATGTCCGGCAACCAGAAGAACTTGGGGCAACGGAATACGAACTATACGATTGGCTGGTATCAATCCTTCGCGCAATACAGGCTGAGGGTTCGATGGGAGGCACTAAAGAGGCTGATGGAGACTGAGGCAAAGCATGCCACTTTGTAAGTGCCGTCGCCCCGCAATTAGACTGATGAGACTTACCTGGTTTTATATATAGAAATGATTGGTGTGTTTTGTTCCTCGATCCCAGCTGGTATTCTGCAAAGCCATTACAGTGGAAACGCATCCTCGAAGAAGTAGCAAAGTCAATTGCCAGGCAGCGCACGCGTGCAAACGGGACAAGGCAAATTATCATAACGTAAGTCGCTCGCGTTATTACTAGGACTATTCATTTAGCTGTTTGCAGCTCACCGCTACACCGTAGTGGAGATCCGAGGTGTCCAGCACAAAGTCATGATCACACCTGGCATGTCCAGGTGTGCCTGTGTACGTTCCAATGACATTATTACCGATGTTCCAATGTTAAACATATACCTATTGACCCTGGCCCTTTGCTTTGATATCGACCGCTTTCTCTTCGATTACTACCTTCTTTAATGAATGTCTATATCCCTACTTACATCTAATCATAACGCTGCATTTTAGAGACCTGTATGAGAGCTCCGCGCTGTGCTCAACTTGGCGAAGCTTCGCTTTGACCGGCCCACCACAGCTCTGCCAGCCCTCAAACCGATGCGATCCTGTCATGTACTGCCGGCACTCTTGGTCACAGCGGCACTGAATGGCTCTCCATGTCAGGTACAGGTACCATGTCATGGGGTCGACCTCCCAAATATTGTTGACACCATCGACGTTCTTCGTGACGGTCATCGTCATCGCATTCCCATTGACGTTGTTGAGCTGCTCGAGGATGCATCGTTTCATGAAGACCTCGCGTAACAGGCCCAGCATGTCGACTGAATCTCAATCAACAGCCTTCCAACCGGCGGCCCACTTACCACTGAGTGTCGGCATCCTGGCACCACTGGTGACGCTGTACATGATGGCAGGCGGGATCGAGGTCTCGAGGTCTCGAAGTTGAGGCAGGAGTCGATGGTGATCTCCTTCTTGGTAAGGACACGGTGGTCAACATCGATGAATGCAAACAGGTCCAAGGGCTTGTCGGCGCAGGGAAGCTTCCAGATCGGGACGGTGTGCAGAATGTTGTGGCCGCAGTGGGTGAGAGTGATGAGGCACTCGGGAATGTACTGCTCTGATGGTGTCGACCTTCTTGAGCGAGGTGTCGTCAGTGCCGAGGTCGGTGCTGATCCAAAGTTCCTCGACGTAGTGTACACCTGTGAGTCACAGTGTCAGCAGCAGAAGATATCAAAAGCCCAAGACGAAGACATACTCTTGAGGTTCAAGATGAAGTGCATGAGATGAACAGCATCCACTGTGATGGTCTCGTTCACATCTCGGCAGTGATCTGGCCACTGACAGTGGTTTCGGTTGTCGTC